CTTCTTCTTCTGCTTTTCGGTCTTCTTTTTTTCTTTCTTGCTCTTCTTTCCCTTTCTTATGGCCTCAGGAGCATCCAAGACAGCAGGAGTTGGTAGTTTCGACCAGTCGTGGCGCAACTCCTCGAGATAGTCACTTGCAGACATGATGTCAAGCCCATCATCCATGGTAGCTCGTAAGGTCTCACCGGATTGTTGACCCTTTAGGAGATTCACATGGTTGGTGTCTTGTAGCATGAAGTGATCGACATTCATATGGCCGTAGAGACCTCCAACCACAACGTCTCGATATTGCTGAAGCCATAAAGTATATTTCTGCCAGCAGCTCTCATCCCAGAGCTGCTTGTTGTCGGTCCGTGCTGGCGGTACATGGCCCATAAGAATGGCCTTCATGCCCCTTTCGCGCATGAATTGTAGCTGAATACGTAGCCATTCCATATGTTCGTAGCCAGGCTCCGATTTCAAGGCGCATCCATCCACACCAGCATTATTGTTGAAGAAATATAGAGTGTTGAGACTGAAGACTGCCAGCTTCTGAGGAATCACCTCCACATAATACCAGCCACCCCTCTCGAATACATGCCGTTGCTCTTCCGGTATAAAGTCGCCCCATATGCTTGTATATGCCTTCAGCCATTTATTCGGACCAGAAAGCAGAATGTTATGCGGTAGAACATCATTGTTTCCCAACGTCGAGACAATCGGTATCGTGAAAGCCTTTCTAGAATCCTTGCCCGCGCCAAAAACCTCTCTGAACTGATCTACCACAAATTTATTCGTGTCGAGCACCTGGTTCGCATTCCTTGGTAGATGTTCATCGCTGTCATGTCTCGCGGAGTCGCCCGTCCATACCACAAAATCGATCTCGTCCTTGATATTCTCTGCTATCCATTTGAAGGTCGCATTTATCAGTGCAAAGGGTGAGTCGCAGTCTGAAGTCTCTGCGCCATATATTCCAGATGTGCCGGTCCCGCGATGGCAAGCCTTTTGTTCCTCGGTCGAAGAATGTACTTTGTAGAACTGATCTGGATGTAAATCTATGGGAATGTCAGATTGGCATGGCTCCTGCAAGAATGGGAGCCCCTCACCTGTGATGTGCAGGAACCGGCCACGGAGCTGTTGTGATGCTTTTTGGTCGGCCAATGGCACCTGCAGGCTCTGTGGTGTAGCTACAGGCGTCGAAAGTATAGTTTGGAGCAGACAAGCTGATATTAATGCTCTTGTGATAGACCGCATATTCTGAGAGTTTGTATATATTTATTTCCTAGAGAGACACTACATGCTTTATAGGTAGATGGCTAGATGGCAGCCGTGTATGGCGTAAGTTGTTTTTGTAGAGCACGCTGACGTTGGGTAGAGTATAATACCACGTACCAGGTATAAGCCACTCGGGTATCCGTTTGAGAAGTGAAAAGAATTGAGTCCGTGAAGTTCCCGCAACATAGAAGATATCTATAACAAATTAAGTGGTCTGTGAGAATGAATATGGGAACATGGAATTCTTCTTAACGTGACTAGTAATTACTAGCGCAAAGCCATTGTCTCTCAAGTCATCGGCTGCTGTTCGAAAGGGTTTCACGTGGGTCAACTGATTGGTAGGAGATGAACTTGTAGACGTGATGTCGCCCTCGGAAACAGCAAAAATATACGATGGCCCTGATGGAATATGTTCAGCCCCACGCGACACATCTTTAACTTACGGATTAAGTGTGGTGGACAAGCCAGAGCAGATACCCTTGGCAACAGCGGTGGCTCTATTGCAAGAGGGAGCTTACACAAGATGCACTAGAGAATCAGATGAGCAAGAACAAATGATAAGGTACTTTTTATCAGTATGGCACGGGGGATGTACAAGTATCAGTGATAGGACACAAGTAGCAGTGATAGGACACGCTGGAACTCAGCTTCGCACCGCTTTGCACCAGACGCTGGCCACTTGACAATCCGGTCGAAAAATCTGTGTAAGTCGAAGACATATGCGACTAGATACGCGTGACAAACTCAATCTGTCTTAAGAGGGGAACACTTTGCTATGATAGGTAGGTACCTAAGGTAATACTGTACTGTACATGTAGCTTGACCAACAGTGGGCGTCATAATTGAGTCCTACCAGTGGGTGACAGAATTCGTGCGGCAGTCACTTAAGACATCAAAATGATCAAAATGCTGATTTCGACTACCTGCTCTTGTTCTACCACAATGCACGCTTAATAGCCTTTCCTTTCGTTTCCTTAAGAACCTGACACCTCCCATTTTTGTACAGGTGTTCCGCGTACTTCTCACTGCTATTGACCCCGTATTCTCCCTCAGATTCTATCATCACGAATTTGCTGACTAAATAGGGTGCAGCACGAACTCTGTCACCCACTGGTGGGACTCAATTATGACGCCCACTGTTGGACAAGGCGTGGTATTTACATAAGGCTTGGCATTCAATAACTTGCCTTGCAACAACGAAAGTCTTTCTCGCATTCAACAGCACCTAACACGATATCGACGTGAAAACAGTCGTGTGCATATACATGTTCAATGGGGAAAGATCACATGATGGACCGAAGTTTCAAGGTAATTTATGTTTCTTATGCTACCTCTTGGTGTCTCCGCTAACATAGATTCACCAGCGAGCCATAAAGCTCCTGAACATCGTGAAGCGGCCAGCACGACCAAAAATCAACCCGCCAAAAGATATTCTTGGATTGGAAACTGCTAACATCATCAATAAGTCGAATGTCAAAGGTGTTCCCAGCCTGTTTGGCATGATAGAGTGGTTAAGTGAACTCGGGCATTCGGTAATGGTTTCCACAACTACTCCATGCCAGATATTGATCAGAATCTACAGATGGATGATATTAACAATCTCAATGTAATTCACGTCGCTGGAACCAAAGGAAAAGGGAGTACCTGTGCATTCATAGATTCCTTCCTCAGGACGCACGGAAACAGAACCGGATTTCCACGCAAAGTTGGTCTATATACCTCACCACATCTGGTCGAACCCCAAGAGAGGATTCGCATCAACTTCAGGCCGCTTCTTAAAGATATCTTCGCGAAGAACTTCTTCGAGATAGATGATACCCTATCGAAGAATGTTCACAACACGCCACGGCCACGTCGACTGCAGCTATTTGCCCTGCTAGCATTTCACACCTTCATCAAAGAAGGTGTTGATGCCGCTGTAATAGAAACCCATCACGGAGGCGAGTACGATTCTACTAATTTTGTTAAGAAACCTGTGGCTACGGTCGTCACATCTCTTGGTCTGGATCATACGAAACAGCTTGGGTCAACAATCGATCAGATTGCATGGCATAAGGCTGGGATTTTTAAGCCTGGTGTTCCAGCATTCTCTCCACCGCAAGAACCCGAGGCCGCAGAAATGTTGCAGAAGCGTGCATCAGAGAAGAATGCTAAACTCAACTTTGTCGCGGATGATCATGACCTACCAGAAAACGTGACACAATTGACACCCGATGTTCAACGTACGAATGCATCTGTAGCTATGGCGGCTGTTCGATCCTTTCTAGACCAAAGGTCTAACCCTAAAGCCCTCATCTACCAAGAAGATATACAGAAGGGAATTAAACAATTCAAATGGCCGGGTCGCTTTCAGATCGTGGATCAAGGAGACTATCAATGGTATTTCGATAGTGCGCACAACGAGATGAGTGTAGAGGTAGCTGCAAAGTGGTTTGCTGAGGTGTCTAAAATGCGAAGGCATGTATTCGTCCACTGACATATATACTGGGCTAACCTATTCAGCGACTCGCTCAGAAGACTGAAAGTTGTGATATTCAGCTTACTCTCAGATCAGAGAGATGGAACAAAAGTCGTTGAAGCTTTGGGATCTGCTCTCAAGAAAGCCCGTGTCAAGATAGACCATATCATTTTCACAACATATGTCCGAGACCCGGGAAATACTCCTGAGGAACGAGAAAATACTATTCTTCCAATAATCAAAGATAAAGAGATGGCGAAACTTATTAGAGAATATGAAATATGTTGGCGGAAGAACAATTGTCAAAACAAATCTTCGGTCGGGTTCGAACTGACTATTCGTGACGCTTTGCAGTGGGGGAAAGGGGTTGTACAGTACACAAAGCATGCGGACCTCATTCCCAGAGGAGCACAGATTCTCGTTACTGGAAGCCAGCACTTGGTTGGTACTGCTCTTGATCTTATGATGAAAGATGACTTGCTCGAGAACTCAACGACGCCGGAAGTGAAGGAGGAATTGTTCAAAGAAAACTATGAGTGGCAGGCGCCTATCATGTCAAATATGATGCGCAGATACCAGATACAGCCAGAAGCCAAACGCTTGAAAGATAGGACAGATGGACAGAATGTATCAGCTGGCTCGAAGCCTTGACCATGCTTGGGATACGCGAAGCAGAAAGGCTATCAGACACAACAATGGTGCAGACTTCGAACGACTGGATATACGCCCAAATGATGCAATACCGGAACATTCATCTCGTTTTCGACTACCAGTGTGCGTATTACCTAAAGCTTCACAGCTAGACTAATGTCTGACGGAATGCCAACAGCAGCACAGCTTGCTTGCAAAGTGTAGAACCCCGATTGCTAGAGGCAGTTGTAGGAAAGTTCATTTGTTTGGACGCCAGAACGAGAGCTATACGGTATTGCAAAAGGCAGTGGCAACATATACTAGATCTTGGGCAGTTGTTTGATACCTAGGCAAGACTGTAGGAGAGTGCTCAAAAGGCAATACGGCATCTACTATTGGGTATGCCCTCTTTCTAGATATTTCCGGATGTGTAATTCAATTACCCTTGAGCTGCAATAGGTGCAGTTGCCTCCAGCTACATCTCAAAAAAAGAAAAGAAAAAAAAAAGGTAATGCCGGGCTTATCTACCCTATTTACTTTGACTTAGTCGTGCTCTATATTATTCAAGCACAAATGGCCAAAAAATGGAACAGCATGAAAATTGTGTACTAAACAAAGAGGAGATTAAAAGATACTGAAAACACAAAAAATATAGAATCGACGCCTGCAGGACTCGAACCTGCGCTCCCGAAAGAAATAGCTTTCTAGGCTATCGCTGCTCTTGATTAGTAAGTCTATGGGCTCCCATGGGTGATGAACATACCGTTAACCACTCCGCCAAAGCGCCTTAGACTTGGTGATTTGATGAAGTACTGTGAAAAAGTAATAATAATATATTGCTAAATTACTTCAACACTCACGAAATCTATTGCACGTTCAAATTGTTTTAGATAGTCGGCAGCTTCACTACCCAAACATTCTTTCAATATTTGATTCTCGCATTCGGATAAGACTCAGCGAATGTACTTTGTCTAGGAAACTTGTACTGTAATCGCGTAGCATTGCACTAGTTTCACGTGCCACCAGGTCATCCAACATTCTAGATCTTAGAGCCTCTCCACAGCATAGCTCACTCACCTTGCATATACTCAACGGTCTCAGGCATGTAGAGTACATACGCGATACTATGCTCGCGGGAGACACTCTCTCCATCATTATCAATGCTTATCTTAGCCACTTACTGTTTCCCATGGCAGGCGTCGTGGCTAGTATCTGTTCTATGATCTTCGATGTGCTGGTATTCTGGCAGAACGTACGCTCAGTCTTCATTTGCCTCGGTGATTTTGGCTAATCTTTGACAGAGACTTCTGGATCGACTGAAGCGCAAGAGACCGGTGCAGGTCTGGGCAGAAGTGCTTAGAGATGCTACGACTTATGAGGGATGGGAGGAAGCTTCCTACCAACTGGACGTGCTGCTTGGAAACGATTTATGGTGGGTTAAACAGCTTATGAGATACGAGGTGTGCCGTTTTAATGAGAGTATTAGGCGCCAGAATCCAACATCCAAGTACTACGATTATCGTTTGATCAACGAAAGACTGCAAGGCATCATAGCAGCTCGTGAAGAGGGAAATATACTTGAGCTTGTCAACCTCCTACGTTCTGGTCTTGTGCGGAATTTGGGCAATATATCCGCTCCGCGACTATTCAACCGAGCTTTTGCAGGGACAAAGTTGTTGATTGAGGATTATATCACGCAAGTTGCTGAAGCGATTGAGGACGTTTCAAGTCTGCCGACCTCACCGACCGTGAACGGGAACAGAGCCATATCTGGATTCAGCAGCCAATCGAAGCTGGATCTCCTGCATGATACAAGACAGGCGTTCGGTCGAAGCACATTGGTTCTTCAAGGCGGTGCAATATTTGGTCTATGCCATTTGGGAGTTGTCAAAGCATTGTATGCTCGAGGATTATTGCCCAGGATCATAACGGGGACTGCTACAGGAGCCTTGATTGCAGCTTTGGTAGGCATACATACCGAGGAGGAATTGCCGAAATTCTTGCGAGGTGAGAGTATCGACCTTTCGGCTTTCGCTGGGAAGAGTAAGAGTTCTAACAGAGAAGATGGCGAGTCGATAGACGGTTGGTGGGACACGTTGACCAGACGGGTCAAGAGATGGTTCAGGGAGGGCTACTTTCTAGACGTTACGGTCCTCGAAGAGTGCGTACGTGCAAATGTTGGGGACATGACATTTGAGGAGGCCTACAATCGCACGAAGAAAGTTCTGAATATCACTGTTGCAACAACAGGGAAAGGCGGTGTTCCAAATCTTCTGAACTACCTCACTGCGCCAAATGTGGTAAATTACTTCGTCCGTTCTATCATACAAACCTAGGACTGATTAGTACAGTTGATATGGTCAGCAGCCATCGCCTCCAATGCGTCTTCTCCGTCGTTGTATGGGAAGACAATAGAACTGAAATGCAAGGATCCTTTTGGTGCCATAGTCCCGTGGTCGCTTGCAGCAGAAACAACTTTCAGGCCATGGACTCATGCGTCATATTCCGAGAGAGACTCGCCACTATCGCGTATAGCTGAGCTATTCAATGTCAATCACTTCATTGTCAGCCAGGCTCGACCCTATCTCGTACCGTTCTTTCAATCGGATCTCCACGGGCCGTCTCATATCTGCACTCGCCGTGGACAAACGTCATTGACGGGTGGGATCCTGAGACTGGTCACGATGGAAATACATCATCGACTTCAGCAACTTGATAGTCTTCAGCTTCTACCATTATCAATCCGGCGATTCTTAGTCGACGAGCACGTACCAGCTGCATCAGTGACTTTGGTGCCCGAATTGTCTGCTCGAGACTTTGGCCGCTTGCTGGAAACTCCCACCAAAAGCAGCATAGACTATTGGATCTTGAGAGGAGAAAAGAGTGTCTGGCCAGCAGTTGTTGCGTTGAAGATCAGATGTGCGATAGAGACCGAGCTTGATCGTGGCTATCAATTTGTCCGGCGTCACAAAGCCGGGGGTCTCAGAAGAAGAGGCAGTGCTGCGTACGACTCTAATGAAATGGAAAGAAAGGCGCGATAGCGTGCGAACAGTGAAGGCGCCATGAATTCACGGTAGTACGAATGTCGAAGCAATCAAGTCACCTTACAAACAGGGGAGTATACGCATCCTTCCAATTGATGGGACACTCAGTCGCGAGCTCCTCAAACTACAGCAATGCATAATCATGGAAGCAAGCAGGATATAAGCTCTTCCTCGCCGCGGGTGGATGGAGATATAGCATACTAAGCATACTAAAGTCTTCGATCCGTCACCTTGAGGCTGTGGACGCGGAGAAGGGCAGAAGGCAGACAACAAGACAGGCTGTGGGTAAGGCAGAAGATGATGGTTTGGATATGGACGAAGTGCGCGGTTCGGTGCATCCCGATAATGCCATCTTGTACAACATACGGCTCTCAACGCTCAATTGAACGACAAAGTGCATTCCTCAAGGACTCTATTTCAAATTCCAAGTTCTGAATACCACTAACTTTCGGCGGGAAGCGGTTCGTAGCTGTCTTGAGCTGACAATTGGCGTACTCGGCGAGACAACACCTCAGCAAGATGAACAACGTTACAGAACGAAAGCGCATCTAGAGTACGGTGAAGATGAACCGGTTGCTGCTCAGCGGTGGTTATCTTTTGCTGCATCGATGTGTCAACCAAGGGCATCGATGTGTCAACCAAGGATTATTGTAGCTATCAGAGTAGACAGATCTTGAGATGTGTTGTCAGGTCACGCCGATAATAGCCTGTGTCATTTTGTAATTTGACTGCCACCTCAAATTGCAATTGACGAATAGTTCTTCTCCACCAAAAGGTTAAAGATTGAGCGTTTCTGCGCAGCCTAACGTCCTCGGGTGCCATTTCTAGATCTACGCATAGCTCTGGTAACTCATGTTGTCAGAGTTATCAAAAAATGCAAGGCAACCATAATGATTGGAAACCAATCATCCTCAAATGGGGTGTGGTGGTGGCCATCTTTACGATTTGCGCAAGCTCCTAAGCTATGGTCCTGGAGCTGTTTTGTTTTCACATGTTCTGTGTAATAGATCTTGATATAGTGATGCCAAAGCTGCTCCTGCTGTCGTGGCCGGATTCGTGGACAGATGCCGAACATCGCGATACTTTCCTCTAAATCCTCCAGATGACCATTTCTCAAGAACTCTTGCATCATGCTACTCAGATGACCATGTCTTCGCCTGCTTGGTCTTCTTGGTCCGAGTTTTATATCGAGGGACTCAATTGAGTTCTATAAAGCTCTTCTAGTTCCTCTATATGGTTTGCCTCTGTTACTTGGTCATATCCTTCAGTCTTATCAAATTGAATTCGTTGTACAATCTTGCTATATCATACCCTTGCACTTCATGTATAGCGTTACTGCCCAATTTGTTTTCCTAACTTCTCAGTCTCATCATCTCTCAGCATATCCCTGTATAGTAAGCCCACAAGTCAGAGTCGACGACATACGACTGACACTCTGTCCAGAGCTATCCACGACCACTGATCTCGGCGGTCTGAGTCTCGATGAAGACCCACGACCTTCTTCTCCACCATGCCAACCGCCTGCTTACCATAGCGACTATTATCAAACAGCACAATCACATGCCTCCTTCAACTTGGGTTCGATCAATTATCCTGAAGGTCCAGAGAGAGAGGATCCTACCAACAGTGCACTGAATAACACTGGAAACCGATACACGAACGGCGTAGTCTTCTATCCCCTATCAGGTTGCGAGAGTAGAAGATTTCTCTATTTGATGTTTTGGCTACGAGGAGGAAAGATTTCTCGTTTTTCTGGGATCTGAGCTATATGTTGTTACCAAGGCGCTAGTATCGCATATGCACGTGATCACATATTCTCATCTTCACATCCCCTTCCTTTCTGCCCACCACTCGGCCTCAATGAAGAATCACACCGCCGCACGGCCTCCGGCTCACCATCCCACGATATGTCCTACTACTTCCGTCGCTTCTTGGACTCCTCCGAGCACGATGCTGAAACCCAAAACTATGCCGTATCGACACCATCTCAAGCGCGTACTTGAATCAGGAATGTGTATCCAGTCTCAGCACGTAGAGAAACTATAAGAACAAGAGATCGGGAGAAGAAGGCGGAAGTGGTGAGCTGTGAATGTCCGGACTTGGCGCTGACCCGATAGAGGGTGTGGGTTCTTGGGAAGAGAATGAGGAGGGGAGATGGCTATGAGTGGGTTGACCGAGACTGTTTCTGGAGAGTGATAGGACGGTACTGTTTGCACTTGGGCTTGTGTCAAGCACTTGAATGATGCAACATCGACAGCCATTGGGATGATATATGATGATTTTACGAACGACTTATGAACTGGAGTCTGGTTGGTCAGGAGGGAACGGGAGGATCACGATTTACGAGGGCTGGCAATGGCGTCAGTGTATTAATAAAAGCAATACTAAACGGACGCTAAATAAACTCTCGCTGCAAAGAGTCACTCGTTGATAGAATGAAATGAACACTCATGAGATGTTGGATCACTTCTGGCATTTCCTAAAGGTAGAAAATCCGCAGCACTCGATTTTCAATTAGAACCCATAGTTGTTCTGTTCGTGTCAGCACCTTATTGGGGTTTTGGAAATGGTATGTGATCTAATGTGAGAAGATAGTGAGATACGGTTAAGAGGCAGGACAGAAGTATCGCCGAGGGAAATCATCAAGACTATTGACGTGAATGTCTGACCACCTATACGGTCATTAAACGCTTGAAGGTATCTCACAAGGTTGGCTTATCTATCTAACAGGCTGGTCGACTCG